GCTTAACCTAATTTGAAGAAAAGGCCTTGCTTTCGTTGCTTGGCAAGGATACTGTCCAGAGAGCGTGGCGATGGAGGATGTTTACTCAGAGCTGGAGCAGGGGTGGGGCTTCCAAAAGAGGGAGCTGGGCGCAGGGGATGTCTTCTCCACTTGTCATTTTAATTTCCTCTGTTTAAATGATGGGTCTTGGCTTCTCAGAGGGAACAGAGTGATGCTGGACATGTCTTACTGTTGTGGTAGGGCAGTGTGATTAAGGCTCCCAGTGGTGATTCCTCTCTACACGTAGGTGGCTGCCTCCTCCTGCATCCTGCCCCCACCCTACTTCACTTTCAGCTGCCGCTGGCTGTCCCTTGCTCCTTCCCTGGGAGCTGTGCGAGACAAAACAAGAGCAGGGGCTCTGGAGACACGTCCTGGGCAAGCCCAGAAGAAGGCAACATGCCCTGCACACCAGCCACTTGCATGGCTGAAGGGCACCGAGCTGCAGGCACATGCAGAAGCATCCCACGTGTAGTCGGGGCATGGAAAGGCACAGCCTGAAGGTCCCTGTTGCTGTTCCCAGAAGGACGGGCAGGGCTTGGTGCAAGCAGCCTCTCTGCTGCTGTCCCCAGTGCCCTGTTGTCCTTCCCCCAGGGCAGCGTGGGCTGGGAGGCTCCTCTGCAGCCTCCTCACGCGATGCAGCAGCCAGTCGGGTATTTCTGCTCTATCTGGACCTCAGATGAGCACAGAAAAGCTCCTCAAAGCTTGGCTCTAGCTGACTGCAAGAAGTGCTGCACAGCTCTTCTTCACTTGCCCTTGCTTTGCCTTTTGTTTTCCCCTCTGTTTTCTTGATGCAGGGTGGTGGGGCAGCATTTGAATGCCCAGCAAATGAGACCAAGGCGGATTTCAGCAACAACTGGTGTACCCCAGGCTCTCCTGCAGTCAGATGATGCCAGGTGAAGTGGAGGAATTGGGGTGCTTTTGTCATCTGGTGTGAGCCTGCAGCAGCGAGAGCAATGCTTTGCTCCCCTACCCGCTACAGCCACCTCACGTCCTGCTTCTCCTCACTGACAGGCACCTGCGTTTCTGTCCATAATTGTAATGTACGGCGGAAGCAATTTTAGGCTCACTTTTGCATAATTTTTTAAGTTTTTGTTTTCTGAATGAAGATTGTTTGACCCCTCTCCATGCTCTGGAAGAGAGACAGTCGTATGACTCTTTATTACATTTTGTAGATTACGTATGCCCATACAGCATACGTTTACGATGAATTTATAGACCCCTATAAAGGGGCTTACGGGCATTATATTTAATTAATGCAGCAGAAATTATATCGTTGTAATAACTGCCTGGCCTTTCGATGTAAAAACCAGCGCCAAGGATTCCCAGATGAATCATCCCTGATAAGAACCAGAAATGACACAGGCCATATATTGTATGGCGAATTTGTTTGGATTGGTACCTTTAGGGTATTCAGCCTTGCCAAGTCTCCGTGGTGCTGACACAGTTTATTACACATTTTCATTTATTAAGAGATTATTTGACTGCAGTTTGTTGTTTTATTGTACAGCAGGTGATAATTTTACACTAAATTAACTGTAACATCTCTGTTAGGAGCAGGCCGAAGAGGCTTCTTGCTATGAAGCTAAATACTAAGTAATGGCTTTTATTCATCGAGGGAGTAATTTGCTCTCATGCGCAGGGCCCGGCTCAGGCTCTCCCACAACCCATAATTAGTCGGTGTGCGTTCGTGGCCCGCGTTGGGGTTACGGGTCCCGTGCCTTCAGACTGGCTCTGTGCTCGTGCTGAGGAGCTCCCAGCTTCAGGGCTTGACAAAAATGGATTGAGGCTACCAAATTTGTGAATTGGCAGGCCCCTTTCCCCCAAAATGGGTAACTTTGGAAGGAGAAATATTTATTGAACCCCCCTTTTTGCTGTTTGAAATAGATTACAGATGAGCAATTTGGCTGTCCCTTAATGAAGTCCATTACACCGGGCTCGTTTCGGAGCCTGGCTCACACAGATACTGTTGAGCTAAGCTTTGTGGTGGGAGATGGGAATTCTGCATCAAATTGAATCGGAGACTGGAGCAGGAACAATTATTGCTGCAAATTATTAAAGCCTCGCTATATTGGAAATTCACAGCATGCGTATCACGGTAACTCACTGTTAAGAAGAAACATACTACAAAGCTAAAAATAGAGGAAAAACCAGAACCATATTGCTTTGATCACAATTCCATGTTTAAAGGAAGTCATCACTGGCAAAATAATCCCCTTCCCAGCCGCGCCGTGGATTAGCTTTGGTTAATGCTAACGCTCCCTCAATACGGGGTGCATCAAGGGAGAAATTATCAATTAAAATCTAAGGCTGGGTAAGTAATTCATAGGAAATAATCTACTCGAGGGAACACCCCCAACACACACGCGTGCTTTTCTCACTTCTGACTCTTCTGCCAGCAAACCCTCACCTTCTCAGGTGCTTTGCTTTGGCCCAGTGGATGCCAGCACATCTTGCTGGTGCGCAGCCCCTCACCAAGCCCTCAGCCGTGAGCTGCATGCGCTTGCTTGGCCTGGACAAGCAGATAAAGCGTTATCTTGCTGGCTGCTGATGGGGGTGATCAGAGCTCCTAAATTTGGTGTCCAGTGTGATTTTCCTTACGATTAGTTATTCCAAATTTTCTTCCGGGGAATATTTGCTAGTGCTCATTTTAAGTTCTCCATTCAGAGATCGCTGTGCAGCGAGCTTGCTGGCTGGAGCACTCATGGGAAGCTCCTGCAAAGCAGTGCGCATTTGTGGATTAAGAATTTAAATGATTTCCTTTTCTCTTTTCCCCAGCATTTCCCAGATCTATAAGTATTATTCATTTGTAGGTGTTAATGGTTTTAAATGTGAGACCACATGAATGGCTGTTGTCTGTTGCTTTTAGGGAATGACATTTGATTTCCTGCCTCCCCAGTGGTCCCTATTTTCTGCAGAGGGAACTACTGGCATTTCTTTTTTTGCCCCACAAGGGCATCCTATGTCCTGGCCTGTGAATCAAGTACTTGTGGGTGGGAGGCTGTGCTCATACACCCCAACCGAGATGTGAATATTTGGGGAAAAAGCTGACGGACACCAAAGGTCCATGTGTGCAGAAGGTGCGCTTGAGAACGAACCCTGTGCTGGATAGCTTACGAAAGCTGCTGCTGCTCCTGGAGCCACCAGCAGAAAGGGATGAGCAGGTTTGGAAGTGAGATTCAAATGAATCCTCTGTGCATATCTTTTGTGCATAGTTAGGGATTTAAATACACTGGGACCTCTGGAGGAGGTTCCCTTGGAGCACATTCAGAGGGAAGTTGCCCTGTGCCTGGGCTGGACCCTGTAGGTCCCTCCTGCCCCTAGCTCTGCACAAGTCCAGTGATGATTTCACCCTGATTTTTATCTATTTCACACCCAAGGCTGGCACACAACAGCATAATGTGAGCTTGTAAAGCCCTGAGGGACCCCCGTGGGGGCTGTTTTAGGAGGGCTCGTGGGGTTTACGAGCTCAGGGTTGCAGGCAGTGAGGGGAGCTGGCACGAATGGTACAGCCACTGACCAGGCTCTTTGAGATGCAGGCACATTTCTCTGATCTGCTCTGATCATCGCACCAGGTAATTTCACTCTTCACGACAGTTAAATGCAGCCTTATTTTTAACATCCTGCAAAATTATTAGAACTGCTGCTGTTATCACCTGCAAGGATGAAAAACCCTAAAAGGACACCCCATACAAAATGGTGCTTGCAGGTTGCACCAGAGTACACGCTGTTAGCTTACATTCCTCCCCACCCAGCACCCCTGCAGCCTGTTCAAGGCACTGTAAGTAAAACCCGAACTGCTGATAACCATTTTACATATGAAAACCTTGATTTTATTTGACAGCATAAGACTTGAGGAGAAAGTGGGGGGAGAAACACAGAAGAAAGTAGATTTTGCTAGTGGAGTAAATGCAGCAGAGGCATTACAATTTCTGGGAGAGCGTTGGGAGCAGCATAAAAAGGCTGAGAGAGAAACAGCAGCTTAAATTTTGATTGTCTGTTTGGGGTGATAGTAAAGTCAAGAGTGCCATTTCCAGCCTAAAATCCCTATATCCAATAGTAAAGAGTATTAGAGCCTAAAAAAAGGATTTGAATAAAAATGTCTTCGACTCCAGCTCATCACAAAATTAAAGGATTTGTTCCAGGAGGCACAGTAACCACATGAAGAGACCCCCCCCAGATCCATGCCTTTGAAGCTTAAGTTTTAATTCAGGATTAAAAAAAATAATGATAAAATGGAGTTGCAGGAGGCCCTGCTGAGGTCCAGCACGATGCCCTAGGCCAGATCCTGCGTTGTTCCCTGCCTGCAGGCTCTGAAGAGGGAAAGCTGCCCTGGTGGGGCAGGAGGGATGCAGCTGTGCAGGAAAGGCATTTACAGCTCACAGCTCACTCATTTGGGGCCTCCTAACGTGGGACACAAGGAGAGAGCTGGTGGCTTTTACATCGCACCATTACCTCCAAGCACAGACAGCAGCAGGGCAGCCTTCAGCTTTTGGTGAGGGGCTGCTGCTCAGCAGATGCAGGTTTTGGTTTTTCACCTTCATCCTCCTATGCAGCCTCCGAATCGCTTCCATTGGCTCTGGGAAACATTTTAACAAAATTTCCCTTCTTCAAATAAAGAACTCATTAAGTTCTCTGCTCCTCAGAGTCCCCGTGCTTCCCCATCCCCAGAGGCGCAGCGCTGAGCCTAATCACTGCCTGGAACAACTGCGGCCTTTATTTTGGTGTAAAGCAACAAGGAAAAAAAAAGAAAAAAAAAGGTCCCCTGTGTATCCAGCTGTAACACTTGCTCGAGTGTAGGAAAATGGAGGAGCCCACAACCGATTTCCAAACCCGCATCTTCCTTTTTCCTGTAATGAGTGATGCATAATTTACACAAGGGGAAAAAAAAAAAAAAAGAAAAACCACACCTTATGAAGCTGAACGTTTTTTTCTTTCTGTTTATTTTAATTTGATTGCAAAAGGGCTGGAGCTCCAGAAAGCCAAGATAAGAGCCCTGCCCGTGCCTTGCTGCAGCGAGCACCGTATGGGGGATGGCGAGGCACGATAAGGCTCGAGGTAAGGCCGCGAGGACTTGCTTGGGTCCCTCCAACAGTTATCGCCGACGCCGTCTCGCCTCTTTCCTGTTTTGCAAAGGAAGAGCACGGCGAGGAGCACGGCGAGGAGCACCCCGTGGCGGCGGGGGCAATCACAGCCTCAGTCAGCGCGATACCTGCCCACACCCAGGGCTACAGCAGCAAGCCGCTGACGGCAGCCGGTACAGTAAAAATTCCTGCTGGGCGCTGTGGCCACGTCGATTTTGGCGTCCCTGGAAGACACGCGGCGTGGTGACACGTCTCCTCTGCCGGCTGACTCACGGGCTGCTCCTCCCGGCCTCTGCGAGAGCTGGGAGCGCTCTGCCTCCGGGGGCTGAGACCTCTCGGTGCTACTTCTGGACTCGCTGCTCCCACCCTTTCTCCTCCACAACCTCTTCTGCAATTTCTGGAGGCTTCGCCTCCACGGCGCTTATTAAAGAGCTTGTTGGAGGCAGGGAGGCCGGCGATGAAACTTGTATGTACAATTAAAAGCAAACAATCTGCTCTGCTAATCCAGCCTTTAAGGCCTGAAGTAAACAACTGCATTTCAAGGGAACGCTGCTACGGATGGAAAAGTCTGTCGGGTGCTAGTTGTTTTTTTCTTTTTAAGCACAAGACAAAATGTTTAACTGTCTAAAAGCTCTAAGCCCTGATTTGTTATGGGGAGATAACAGCTCCATGAATTAGATGATCAAAGATGACTTTATTAGTGAATTCTAGCATTGGCTTCTGCTTGTTTATGGGGCAGGCAAACATCTATGTGAGCATTTATACCGATTTTTTTCCAGTGAGTTATCTGCCGTAATTGCTGTAATTCCCTAATCCGGGTATTTGCATCAGCGCTGTGTGCTGATTATGACCTGGTTCAGTGCATTTATCTGTGCCGATTTTCAGCAGCTCTTTTGGGAAAACAAAACAAAACAAAACAAAACAAAAAACAATCCCAAAGACAAAACAAACAAACAAACAAACAAACAAAAACCCAAGCAGGTCTCTTCCTACCATGCAAGTTTGCCACGTTTCAGACCTCCCTTCCCAGCACCGACCAGGGGCAGCCCGCCTCCTGCGGCGCCTGCTTGCCCTGCTGTGAGCTGCCAGAGCTCACAGCCTAGGGACTGGCGAGAAACTAAAATCATTACATTTGTTCGCTGGATTTCCGACACGTAGCGTGCGTGTTTATCTCAAGGCGGGTTAGACACCAATTAGCGCTGCTCACTAATGAGGGCACAATCAGCCAACCTTGCAGTACGGAGCGTGCGGAGCGACGTAGGCGCGGGGAGGCTAAGCACAGCTGACAGCTCATCTCACCGCTTCTCCTGGTGCTGCCCTGAACATCCTGCCAGCACATGCCTTGCAGGTAGCTTTGCAAGCAGCGAGGGGGGGCTCTTCTGAAGCGAGTTTTTTGGGAGGACCGCGTGATTCTCATGGTTGCAGCTTTTGGACCATGATCACACGCTGGCAAGCATCAGCTGGAAGTCCCCCCCTGAGACCTCCACTCCTGGTTCCCCCAACCTTGCTGCGTTAGGACATTGGAGGTGGAACTTAAAAACATAAGAAAAGGGCTGAATGGAGGTGTCTGTGCCCACCCGACTGGCAGCTCGGGACTCGCAGAGCGGTGCCAGCCCGAAGCGGGGTGAGCGCTGGCTGGCTCGCCAGCGGTGCTCTGTCTGTGGGGACTGGATTTACTTGCTGTAAGGAGCCATCTAGTGAGGGTTTACTGCACATAAAATCAAAGGAATCTTTTTTTTTTTTTTTTTTTTTTTTTTACTGTTTCCAGGCAATACCGAAAGAAAACGTGAGCGAGCAGTGGTGTTTTCCTTTTCACCCCCCCTCTCCGTGGGCCTGCCCTCAGAACCAGTGAGAGTGAAAGCAAAGACGCACGAGGAGGCCTTGGCGTGGGTCCCTGGGGGGAGCGGGGGCTGACCCCAGCACAGCGATAAAGGGGGCCATGTCCACGTGGTGTGTGCCTTTGTGCTCGTTTGCTCGGTTTGGGGGTTGTTCGTTAAAGAGGAATGAAGTTAAGCAGCTGGAAATGCTGGCTTAGAGCTGAGAGGGTCAGCGTGCTGCAGAAATGGGAAGTTATTGCTCCCGGAGCATCGAAAGCACGGCTACATTGCAAATCCACACTGCTGTGAATGCTGCAGCCCGCGGGGCATTGCAGAAGGCACTGGACACACCGAGTTAGAGATGAAGCCCTCAAGTTGGTCAGGAAGATGACAGCAGCCTCCCTGCCGTTGGCAGCAAGGTTTGGCGCTGGCCTCCAGTGAGCGTGCTGGCCCGCAGCATCCTCTGCACTGGGTGTACCAAAGCGGTCTCCAGGCTGAAGAGGGGTCTCCCTGGGGGTGTGCGTGGGCTTTGTGCTGCAGTCTGCATCCTGACGCACACGGCAGAGCCTCCTCTTCCTCCTCCTCTTCCTCTTCCCCCTCCTCCTCCTTCTCCCCCTCCTCCTCCGCCTCCTTCTCCTCCTCCAGCCCCTTGCAGCTTCTCAGGGTGGGAGTTTGCGAGTGTGCAGGCAGTTCCACATCTGCTCTCCACAGGCAGATTTTTGGGTCCTTTAATGCCCCAGCTCGTGCCCTCCTGCCCTGGGTGCACAGAGAGAGGTGCTCGGTGCTGTGACACGCAACAAACAGGGCAGGGATCGTTCATGGCTACGCTGCACATCGGGACAGGGAAAATAATCCGACTGCTATAAACAAGCCTTTACAAAACCCAGATGCCTTCATGAACAAGAAAATGCTGTAAATTATGAATGTCTGTCATTTTACAATAACTATTCCTTGCCTTTTCTTTTGGAAAATGCAAACAATGATTTTTTTATATTTATATATATATATATATTTTACACAGAGAAAATCCCCATTTTTGGTAGGTGGAAAGTATTTGGCTATATCAGTGATTAACAGGGTTAATGTAATAGCTGCAACTGAAATGCAAAAAGCAAACAAGCCAAACAGAGAGAAATGGCTTTGTTATAATGGCTTCATTATGGATTTTAAAAAGTTTGCTTTTTCTTGCAGTTTGTTGTCAGAAGGAATTGGCTGAATTCAGTCAAAATGGTTTGTTCTTTGTCTGTCTGTGGTCACCATAGCTACCACCTCCATCCGTTAACATATGTGGTATTATTTCGTTCCTTTCTCTTAAACCCCATTCACAGATGCTGTCAAGATTTCCCTTTGTACCTTCGTGCTGGGGCCGTGCCGGGTTTGGCTCAGCGCAGCGTGAGGCACGGGGCTGGGCACCAGGCGTGGGCTAGGGGCTGCGAGGAGCAGTGGGGCACGAGCTGTCGAGGTGCTGCGGTTCCTGGGGAGGCTCTGCCGGGTCCTCAGCTGCCGTCGGTCAGCATAAAGGCAGAAATTTTAGCAGAGCTGGTGTGTCAGCCAAGGTCAGGGCCGGGGAAGTTCCTCATCACACGGGTGCTGGGTGAGGAGCCTTGGGATGAAGGGAGGCACAGCTATGACATTAAAACTAATAAATGATATGATTTTTTATTGAGCCTGGACGTGTATCCGCTCTGCAACGTGAGTGATTGGAGTATTTAGCGGATATCAGATTATCCACATTTCAGATTTTAATTGGCAATGAATTGGGGAAAAAAAAAAAAAAAAGAAAAAAAGTCAGTTTCCTCTGTTGCTGAATGAGAAGATGACTGAGACGGCTTCATTTTCTTTCCCAGCAGCTGAGCAGGCAGGTAAATGTAGTGATGTGAATTTGTATGTGGTACAGGTTACAGTGGGGTGGCCATAAGAGGAATTAGATAATCAGGAAAATATCCAATTTTCTTTCAAAGCTCTCACAGTAAGGAATAAAGTTAAGGTGAATCTGTCTTTTTTTTTTTTTTTTTTTTTTTTTTTTTTAATATAAAAGCCTTTGTTTAAAGCTCTGTGGGTCTGATTTTTAGAGCACCCTGCCCTCTGGTTTCTTTTAGCTGGGGATGTGGGTGTTTGGCGTTTCTCTGCAGCCACTAATGCCTGCGGAGTAGCTGGAGAAAGTGCGAGGGACATTATTGTAATGAGGGGATAATTCTGCTTCTCCTGCCTGCCTTTCAGCACAGATGAAAGGGTGCCTGGGTGTCACGTTTTGTGCTCTGAAAAAGGCAATTCTGCTTTCCTGGCTCTGCCCCCCCAGGGGCAGGGATGCTCTCCTACCGCAGGCCACATCTGTGTGCCCAGCGTAGGGCCCGTTTTTCAGGCCTCCTGTTTCAGCTGTAAAAATTCACTTCTCATGCATGGCTGGGAAACAAATCGTCAAGACAGACCATAACTGCTCTGAGAGGACCATTAGTTCCCGGTGTATGAAAAATCCATGCTTAAAAAAGTGAGTGCTGTTCTTATCTACACACCAGGCCGTGACCAGGCCTTGAAGACACGATAGCCTGCATGGAAACCATCGTGTCCAACACCACAGGCACTGAGACAGCAGGAACAGCTCCCTGTGCCTGGATATTAGCCAGATATTAACCCAGAGCCACCCAGCACCCCTGAGCAGGTTGGGATCCACATATACTCCAGGTTTACACAGACGTAACTCAGAGGAGGAAGGCCGCAGCACAGAGATTTGGCCCGGTGAGCGAGAAGTTGGTGCACCGCTTCTGGCGTCCCCAGAGAGGCGAGTCCCAGCAGGGAGCTGCTGTGAGGGGCCACCAACACGCTGCCCGTGGAGAAATGCCATCTGTCCCCCAGCTGGGTGTCAGGACGGCGGTGGGGGCACGGCACATCTTTGGTGCCCTTGGTGTTGGGTGAGGGAAACGCCTGGGGCAGACGGGATCTGGGATCGCAGCTCTTTTGTCTTCTTGTCATTTTAAGGGCACTAAGTCGTGGCATTTTCTAAAATTGTTTCTTTTAGTTGGTGATTAATCCCTCACTGGATGCCAAATCGAGGTTTCATTGATTTTTTTTTTTTTTCCCTTTTCCAGGTTTTCGTGTGTTGAAGGTTTTCTTCAGACAAATAGCAGCAAGGAACCGACTTTGGCTTCTTGCTCCTCCCGCTGAGATCACCGGCATTTGAGATTACATGGGGATTAGGAGGAAGAGAAAGTACGAAATCAAAGGTTGGCACTGCAGTGCCAATGGGTTGTGCTGTGCCATAGGGGTGTGTTCGTGGAGGCACCGGGCCTGAGCCTTCTCATACTGGTTTCACAGCAAAGGGAATTTCCAGGAATTTTGGTGGAGTGATCCCTACGTATGTCAGGAGGATGTGAATAAGTTGATTTTCCCCACTCCCATGTGTGCATCTGGACACACCAACCTCTAAGATTTTTCTCTCTCTTATGTAAGTTTGCTCGAACCTCTGACTGCATGCTTGGAGACCAATTTGAGATGAATTTCTAACAGTTTCCTTTCCCATGGGAATGCCAGTGGTAAGAAACTGCTCCTGGGAAAAGCTTGTTCCATCACTCAAAAAAAAAAAAAAAAAAAAAAGAAGAAAAAAAAATCAACAATTGATTTAAAGACTGAAGGGCAAGGATTGTATTGTGAAACAGTTTTTAAAAATTAATATCTCCTGTTAACCCCTGGCTCTATTAATGTACAGCATCCAGTCTTTGTCCCATCAGGTCTGGTGACACAGAGCTCCCCAAATGGATTGTGTGGATTTCTTGTTCTAAATTTCTTAGAAAAACTGTTATTGTACTCCAGGTCACCCTGAGAACGATGGCAGCTGTCACCCACAACACTATCTCCCAGGGTTTAACCTGCACTGGCTGTTCTGCTGCTGAGATGACGATGGAGAGAAATGAAAGAAATTTATAAAAAGAGAGCGAGCTCTTCCCAGACCAGCTTCGTGCTTGCTGCAATCATTCCTACGATAAAGCAGCTCCCAGATGGAAATCTTTTTCCCCTTGTTTTGCTAAGGAATGATGAATCTCTCTGCAGCTTGTGTTTCCATTCTGATATGGAGATTTTCTGCTTAGACATAGCACCGAGTGGGGCAGACCCACCAGCTATCTGGGGCTTTCTGCACTGATTTTGCTCCCTGATCCTTCTGTGGAATACAGGGCTTGCTTTCTGTGAGAAGGCACCGGCTGTAGGGGTGTGTGTGTGTTAATGCTGCCGTGTCACCCCCATCACCGCTGTCCCGTCCACTTTCTCTTCTTCAGGCTGCTCAGGGGCGCAGGGTGGGAGCAGAGAGGAGATGCATCTCCAAAGCCTTAAGAAAATCAGCTTGCTTTTGGGCGTCAAGGGGGAATGGGGCTGTGCAGCAGCCTGACATTTAATTAACGGAGAGCTGCTCCCAGGGGAGCCGGGGGCAGCACAGGGTGTGGGGAAGGCCGTATGCCCTAGGAACCCGATCCCCGCTGGGGGAGGCTCTCAGGGCACAGATGTGTGACTCCCGCTGCCCTGGTTTCATAAACTGTGAACCAGCCCTTGGTGCTGACACCGAAACAGTGCCAGCTCCTCGTGCTTTCCCTTTGGGAATTCTCTCTGCCCACTGCCAGCCCAGGACACCCTCTGCTCTGCCTCCCCTGCTCCCCCGGGCTGCCACGCAGCCCTCCTCCTGCCTCCCCCAGTGCCGCTGCCTCCCTGCACCCTCTCACTCCCACCACCGTCCTCCCCGCAATTTTTCCTGCTGGCCTCCCACTCGCTACAGGATATGAGCCATTCTCTCCGGTGGGGAATAAAAATTTGGATTATAATTTGCCTTTATTGCTCCTTCTCCAGAATCAGCTTTCAGGCTGCAGGGCTGCAAGGAAGAATTTTCAAGGGAGCGCAGGAGATTTAGGGACAGATTTTTAAGGTCTTTTAGTTACATTAAAATGAAATTAGATGCCCCTTGGGATTTTTCAACAGAACTAGATTTTTTAATTATTTTTTTTTAATTTTCCACGTGATGTCTGTTTATATCTTCAGGCATTTAAATGCCTCCAGAGATTTGGCTTTTGAACACCGAAGTCCCCTTGGAACCAACGAGAGAGGGGCATAAACTCCTGGACATTTCCTCCAAATTCCAGCCAAAATTGTCAAACTTGGAGCAGGAAGTTCTAATGTAGGAGCTTGTAAACCTGATTTCTGCTCTGCTTTAGCACCAGGGGAAAACAAGCAAGCAACCAACCAACCCATAGCGTCGGCCACATAAACATCTTGTTCAAAGGGTAATGTTTTCCTGATTAATAGCCTTTCGGTATTAAAAACTATCAGTCTCGAGGGTGATTAATTGTCCCTTCTGCTGTTAGTAACCAAACACGTCTGTATATGCATACGTGTACACACATACTTACAAACACAGCCGTGTAACATGCACGCTCTCACGGGGGTGAGCATTTTCAGTGCCTCTCTTTTCAAGGAAAATAGGTGAGAGCTGCTTTGTACAGCTCAGGCAAATGGGAAGGCATTTAGTTTTTGTAACCCTTTGTGGCAATGACTGGCAGTGATGTAGATGTGCCGGGAGCAGTGTGTCGTGGCACAGCCAGCAGGCACTGAGCTGGGCAGGGCGGACACGAGGGAAGAGGCAGCAGACACGGCGCTTTTCGCCTGGGGAGCGGTGCCTGCTCCGTTCTCAGGCACCCCCGCGGCATTGCTGCTTCAGCTCGACTGTGCTTGTGGGCCTGACGGGGTTAATAGCCATTAAAAAAAAATCATTTAGAAGTTGGCAAGGAGAGAAGCTTTCCCCTTGACAAAGATAACCAAATTTCGAGAAATTATTTAAAAAGACAGTCCTGCCTGTCCGACCTGTTCGGCTGCAGTAAGCACGGAGCAGCGACACCGCCTTCAGAAGGAAAAGCCTTTTTTTTCCCTCCCCCTTTTGCTTTGCTATCTAAGCAGCCGGACGGATTAACCACTAAGTTACGGTTCTGTCCAGAAGCCCCAGTTAGGCTCAGGGCCGAGGAAAAATGCCAGTGTGGCGTTAGGGGACTCAGCCAGCGGCTGCTGGTGCACCAAACTCCTCCTCCCGATCCTACGCAGCTTCGGCAGCCTCGGCAGGACGCACGGTGCCCGCAGTCACCGGCAGGAGCACGGCCTAAGGTATTTGAATGAAGAACCCGTGCAGGCCAACAAGACCCTGTGCCTACCAGGGTCTGTCTTAGCGCTCGGGGGGTTTCCTCCCTATCAGCCCCATCTTGCAGGACTTTAAAATAATGAAGTTTTAATATCAGAGATCTCCGGAGCAAGGGGAGTGAGCTGGAGGAATTCACTTTGTTGCTTCGAACCTCGCTCTTTTGGCATTAGCAATGTTCAGGGGCTGCAAAAAGTGCATTCACTGTTGCTGCTGAAAAATAAAACACAATTCTGTATTTTGTGTACAGTCTCTGTGTACACACTCGCCTACACTCAGTGCAGAGTTTTCTTTAGGGCCAGAAAAGAATTTTTCAAAGTTTGCTTCCAGAACAACGCTGAAATCTGCAACGCCGCGTTGGGACACTTGCTCAAAACTTTTTGGTTTTCAGGCTTTTAGAATAAGAAAGCCAGCACCATTTTTAAGGAAGCAAAAACAAACACGAAAAGCTTTCTCAAGGCTCAGGAACTACAAGCCTGAGCAGCACCAGAGATGTTAAGTTCACAGCTCGTGTGCTTCTGCAGAAAGGTTTGAAAGAAAAAAAAATAATATGAAATAAAATAAATGCCCTGCCAGGGCTGAAGACGGTGCTGCTGGCCTGGAACAATAGCTGTGACAGGTGCAAAGTGCTGAGACAGTGACAGCCCCGAGACTTCCTGCTCGGGGACACACACACACGCACACACACCTCATCCTCCTCTTCCCTTTCCTTGGCTGCTGCTGAGGGGCAGGGGAGGCGCGGGCAGGGTGAGCCTCGTGGCCCCAGCAATGGCTTTTGAGCAGTTGGCTTCTGGCACGGCGCTGCCGAGCAGAGGTGGGATGTGCAGAGTCCCCAGCACGCTGTATAAGCGTGGCCAAAGCCTTAAGGAAGGCTCACAGCACGTGTAGTGTCTGCGGTACCTGTTGTTTCAACCCCTCAGAGGGCAGCGATGTTACAAACATTTCACGTGGCTGATTCGGATTTTAATCCTGAGGCCCCGGTGGTGACAGCGATGAACAAAGGAGGAGGGAGAGGAAGTGCAGGAAGGCCAAAATTAGGCCCCGATTTGCAAAGCTGCGTGCACGTGTCGTGGTGCAAGGGCAGCTGTGGGGGCAGGATCCAGTTCAAGCTGAGGGCTCAGGTGTGTGGGGTGAGCTTCTCCTCACAGCGCTGGCACCGGGACAGCAGATTGCAAACCCTTTTAACTCGAGCTCATTTCTCAGTGAAACGTTGGGTGTTACCTTCCTGCCAGGGAATTCTGGAGCAGAAATATCGGAGCACAGAGACTGGGAATGGATATTATGCCGTGTTTGCACTTCTCCCCATTACCAAAACGCATCCTGCGCTAAGGAAAACCGCACTGGGAAACCTTCGCAGCTGTCAGGGCTTAAGAGCATTGCTAATTATTCTCCTGATTTAAAGTTGATACTTTTAGAGATTGTGGGGTCAAGAGCCGCTGTCGTAAAGTTTGGGTTTGTGCTGTGAGCTGGGGAAAGTTGCTTTTATGTGGCGTGAACCAACTTTTTGTGCGAGGTGCAGGAACTGCAGCGTAGATTTAACGCTTACATGCGTGTGTACACGAAAGAAAGTGACTGTGTTTGTCGGTGTACAGGCACAGAAGAGAAAGTGAATGTTTTTTAGGAAATTAACGCAGATTTTGAAGGGGATGTTGTACGGATTGGTACTGGGGAGGATCACCGAGGGCCCTTGGGTCCCCTAACCCCGAGGCATGAAAATGGCAGAGGGAGGCGGGGGGGGGGGGGCCGGGACGGGCTGCCCGACACCAGATAACCGCTGCTGCTCCAGCTGCGGCTGCAATAATTTATAATAAAAACACAACCCACGCAGCCCCCTCCCTCCCCCCCAAGTTGGCCGGCCCGCAGCCAGCGGGCTTTGTTCAGCCCCCGGCAGCCCAGCCCCGAGCCCCCTGGCGGCTCTGCCCGCGGGGCAGCGCTCTCGCTTCCTCTTTTGTTCCGCTCCCTCGCGCAGGCTCCTTCCCCGCTTTCTATTTTTTTATTTATTTTTTATTTTTTTTTTCTTTGCCAGCGCCGCCGCTCCACGTGGACTCGGCTCGGGCAGCGAGGCCTCCCTCAGGAGCCCTCAGCACCCCGCCGGCCGAGCCCTGCGCAGGAAAAGTTGGCGCTGCCCCACCTCGGGGCGCTGCCCCGGCCCCTCACGGGGCTTCTCGCCGCCCCCCGGCCGCTCTGACGGGAGGGGAGCGCTCAGCACCCCCCCCACCCCTCACACCGCCCGCCCGCCCAGTGCCCCTCAGCCGCGGGCAACGGGCGCTTTGTGCCCGCTCCCATTCAAACCGCGCAGTAACCTTCCGCCGCGAGAGGGGGGGGGGTAGGGTGAAAAGTAGTCCCTCGCCACCCTCCCTCCCGGGGCTGAGCTCGCGGCGGGGCCGGGAACGGGAGCAGCGGAGCCCCCTCCACACCCCCCCGGCGAGAGGGGTGGGGGACGAGGAGCGCGAAGGGGCAGAGCCCCGCCAGCCCTCGCCCTCCTCCTCCTCCACCGCGCTCCGCCTCCCCTCACTCCTCCCCGACGGAAGCTCGGGGCGGCCGAGCCGGCCGGGAGACTGACGTGAGGCAGCAGCCAATGGGAGCGCGTCCCTCCCTCCCCAAACGCCGCCTGGACCAATGGCAGCGCGGAGGGGGCGGGGCCGGGCCGCGGGCCGAGCGGCGCAGCTCGAGCCGGGTCCCGGCGCAGGGGCTGGGGATGAGCCGCGAAGTTGGGGCAGCGCCGGGGGATGCAGCAGCGGCAGCGGCGCCGCCCGCCCCGGCCCCGGCCCCCGCCCGCCCGCCCCGCCCGCACCTCAGCGGCGCCTCCGCGCCTCCCTCCCGCCCCCCTCAGCCCGCCCCCGCCCCCCCGCTCCCGGCTCAGTTTTTAAACTCGGCTCCCCCCCTCCCCTAAATGCCAGCCATGATCGAGAAGGGCCCGGAGGTGGCGGGGAAGCGGCGGGGCAGGGCGAACAACCCCGCGGCTGGTGGTGGGGCTGGTGGCGGCGGTGCAGGAGGAGGAGGAGGAGGAGGAGGAGGAGGGGGGGGCGGTAATAACGGGAATAACAAAAGTTTGGCCGCCGCCCCCAACGGCAACAGCAGCAGCAACTCGTGGGAGGAGGGCAGCTCGGGCTCGTCCAGCGATGAGGAGCACGGTGAGGCCGTTTGGGGGGGGGCTGGGGGGTTTTGGGGGTTTTTGGGGTTTTTGGGGGGGGCTGTGGGGGTGTCCCCCACCCCCCTATAACGCCTTTCCCTCTGCCTCCCTCCGCAGCCGGCGGCGGGATGAGGGTCGGGCCGCAGTACCAGGCGGTGGTCCCCGACTTCGACCCCGGTGAGTCTCGGGGGGGGGTTGGGGGGGGACACACAGGGCTCTGCTTCCCCCGCTAATCACTAATTAACGCCCTCCCCGTGCTAACGGTGCCCCCCGGGGGCTCGCAGCCCTCCTGCAGCCCCCTTAGGGCCAGCCCGAGCCCCTCGGCCCTTTCCCCCTTCCCTTTCCCCCCCCCCCCCGGAACCAGCCCTAGCACGGTGCATAAAGAAGTCTCGCTGCCTTCCAGAGGGCGCTTTGCAGGGAGGAACAGGGAAGCTGTGGGGCGAGAGGAGGCAGGAGATGGCAGTTGGCTCCTTTCTTTTTTATTATTTTTTATCCCACCTTTTTTTTTTTTTTCCCCCCCTCTTTCCTTCTCCTCCTCTGTTTGTGGGCTCAGCCACACGGGTGGGACTGGGGACGATCAAGTTGTCTAAATGCCTTTTTTTTTTTTTTAACCCATTTCAAAATGCCTCGAGTCTCTCTTTCTTTATTTCTTTTCCCTTTTTCTTTTTTTTTTCCTCTCTTTCCCCTCTTTTTCCCTCTCCCAGGAGCCGTTCGGCTTCCCCCCAGAATATTTCACATTCCAGCTCTTCTGCTGCAGCTCTTTGTAAGCTAATTTAAAGTGGTAGGGGAGCAAATTTGGAGCAAACAAAGGAATTGTGGCCGCACTGAAAGGCAGGTGCTCGAAGCACCGTGCTGTTGGTGTATCTCCGGGTATATCTGGGCGCATAAAGGCAGGCTGCTGACCTCCTTAGTTGGAAATGTAAGCGAATTTTTTTGCATTGTTCCTTTGTAGCTGTAGGTTAAGGCTAGCGACAGCCCTCCTCCTATCTGGAGATCTCGGCGTGTGGAGTTGTCTCTTGCCTAGTCCAAACTTAATTGAATTCTCTCTTCCTCTCTCTTAAAACAAAAAGACTGATTTGGAGAGCCTCGCTGGCTCCTTATCGCATAACCCCGGCAGGAACTATTGTGTGGATTCAGGAGAAATGTTCCTCCCGGATCGTCCTCGTGCTGCGTCCTAATACCGTGGGTGCCTCTTTATTATTTAACATACGTGGTTTTTTTTTTTTTTTAACTGTTATGGTCCCAGGAGGCAAACAGGATTTTTCTTTTTCCTGAACTTTGATGTTGCATTTATTCACCGAATGGTTCCCCCCCCCCCAGCACGTTCTTCACAAAACACGATGCAAGGTCTTGGCACATGGCAGCTCCATTTCTTGGTGGACCAGGAGGAGGAGGAGGGGAGGAGGAGAAGCGTGGGGGAGCTCGTTTGTAGTTGAGA